AGCTCAGAAGCGACATCCGGGGCTCTTGGGGAAACATCCGGGGCTGCAGCCCAAGTAGCCACCCCCTAGATCCACCACTGGTGGTACTCCTTTGACCACCATTACCTGCCAAGCCTCAGTGAGAAATAACTCTCAAAGAACCAAAGTTTCAGGAACCAAGACAACCTGCCTATTTATTAAAGAAGGTTAGTGGCTTTGCATTCTGAACTTTTTATCCTCCATCTCAGTCACTAACCTGTTCTCTCTCCTCCAGAGGCTCTGGTTCCCCTGATCCTGAATTACCTGCAGAGTTTCTTCAATAAATCTTTTAAAGTTATTATCTGTTGTGTTCTGGTTGCATCAAAGTCCTCAGTCTGAATCTTAACAACAGCTCCCACACTATAAATTGGAAATACAATTGTATTTGTATGACAGAAAGGCATTGAGGAATATTTTTCAGGTGAAAACATTATTTTAAATGTCTCCAAGTCTGATTTATAGGTGATTAAACAAAGAAAAAAAATTTAGCCTGGCTATTTTTTTTCCACGAACACTGAAACACGCAGGTTTGTAGATAGCATACAAGAAGGACAAATTATTTTATTTTAGAAGGTGAAACAGTTCCAAGTAATGTCATAGATATTTCTTTTTCTATGCAAGAAATGAAGAGAGCAATATTTAGATCAGGATTAACAGCACCAGGAAAGGATCCAATATGCTATATTATGTAAAAACATGTATGAAATCAAGCTAAAAAAAACTTTTAGGTTTATATAATAAGATCTGGAAAGGAGGAAGATCGCCTTGTAACTGGAAGGAAGTAATCATTGTAGCCTACCAATTATTAAACTGGGAAAGGATCGAACAAACCCTACAAGTTATAGACCAATTGCACTTACTTCATGTTTAGGAAAGATTATGGAAAGAAAGGTAACAGAAAGAATTACATATTATGTAGAAAGTAAAGGACTTTTGTTTTCATATGAAAGTGGATTCAGAAAAGGAAGGAGTTCAATGGATCCAGTTGTGTGTTTGGAATCAGATATTAGAAAACCTCAAATTAATAGGGAAGTAGTGGTAGCGATATTTTTTGATATTGAGAAAGCATGGGATGTGGTATGGAAGGATGGGTATAAAATTGGGATTACAGGAAGGGTTTATAATTGGATTAAATATTTTTTGCTTAATAGAGTTGGACAGGTACAGATGGGAGTAACAAGATCTGATAATATAAAATTGACAATGGAACTCCACAGGGAAGTATTATCAGTCCTTTATTATTCTCAATCATGATTTATGACATTTTTACAGAAGTAGATCAGGATGTCATGCAGTCTTTATTTGCTGATGATGGAGCCTTTGTCTATAAAAGGGAAAAGTGTAAGATTAGTGTATGAGAAAATACAAAATGCTATTAATGCTGTTGAAATTGAGCTTATAACTGGGGAGTTAAATTCTCAGTAGGTAAATCAAAGACTGTTGTATTCCGTAGAAAGAAAATTGTGGGAATTGATTTAAAAATGTATGGAGAAAAAATGGAAAAAGTAAGTAAAATGTAGTTTTTTAGGAATCATTTTTGATTTCAAGATCTTATGGGGTGATCATGTTAAATATAATGAA